CGCTCCAGCCAACTTCGGGCGGGAGATGTTTATCGAGGGGCACCGAGTTGACAGCTCAGGCCAGGTCTAGATACCCCCCCCCCCAACACACACACACACACACACACTAAGGGCGTGGGCCTTGAATCGACCAGCTTTCCTGGGCCCCCTGATTGGGCCTGCGTGTTGGAATTCCGCGCCCGGCCATCGATGGTCACGGCTGTGGATAAGGGTGGCTCGTCCGTGTCCAGCGCGTCGGTCTGTCAGTCCGCCGGCATGCACCCCCCCCGCCTAATCGAGTGGCCCGTCCGCCGGACCGAGGTCCCGAGGACCCCCTTTCCTCCCCTCGGAGAGCTGCACCCCGATGTCCCAGGCTGCCGGCGGTCCCTGGCGGGCAGCTTCGCCGACGGCTTGCGCCGTATCCGTCCAGCGTACCCAAGTGAACCCGAGAGCGCTATCTCGCTGTGTCTTTTTCAGGATCGTCCCAGACTGCAGAACAAGGTGCAAACATTTTGAAGAAACATCTAGTGCAACAAAGGGGGGCTGAAAATATCAGTGAAGTTGCCAACGCGAACCACGAGGGAAAAATGCTCTTCCAGCACTTTAAACGTGCTTAAAGTTAATACTTTTAATTAATCTCTGCTTTATTTTAAAACGCCATCTTGGTTAGCATACGCGAATAAGGATCATAAAGCATGTATTGTGCTTTTTCTTGTCAAAACGATGATCTAAAAATAAAGCAATAGATCAGATGGGTATTTGGGGAGATTTGATTTATATTCTGACAGTGTCTCCTGAAAATCTAACCAAGGAAATCAAATCGAAGGCCCTTTAAATACTTGTATTACTGGCCAACACTAATGACCCCTTTACAGCATAAAAACATATTTCTGCCTTGCGTTTTTTCTCTTTTCCTTTATGACGAGAATCTCAAGTCTCTCTCTCATTTTTCTGTCGGAAATACACCTGGTGTTAAGAAAGGACACTGTTGCCACAACATAAATGATTTAGTTGCAATACTTCTCTCTTGGAGCCAAAGACCGTTTTCTTTTGTCTTACCCTACACGACTAGTTAGGCTTTTCAAACTAGCAGGACTCGCGTTCTGCGATTCCGTCATTTTCAATTTCATTTTCCATAAGGAAAGTTACAAACTAGGAAGCAAGACGATTTTTTACAGCCTGATTGATTACACCTAATAAGATATAATCGAATATACAGTCTTACTACAATATGCATTGTATAATAAAAAAATATTAAATAATATTAATTTAGGTCACGTGTAGGCTGAGTACTTGACCACAGCGACAGCAGACGACAGAGTCCAGGGAGCGGAGGCTGGGCCCCCTGTCTCTCCACAGCGCGTCAACCTCACAGCACAGCTCAGTCTCTGACCGCTCTGCGTGATTCACTGGGTGCGCCGGGGTGGGGATTTAAAATGCTGGGTTAATAATTTATACAGAGAATCTATACGTCACGGGGAAAGTTTCTGCATTGTTCTCATGATTAAAGATGGTTCTTGATGCACTCGAAGTGGCATTTGTCAATAGTTATTCTTGTAATCACCACCATCACAACCCCAGACTTTAATAGTTTCAGTCAGGGCAAGCACTGTAAGACACTGCGCAATATGCATACAAATAAAAACACGGATAAATCAACCAAAAACTTTTCAATTATTAATTTAAGTAATTGAATTACTTCAGTGTGCATTAAATGATTAATTGAAGATTTATATATCAGACATGATCTTATAAAATGACCTCAGCTGTGTTTTTAAAATTCCTTCTGACTCAGAGTGATGAATAAGTGAGTCAAGAATGCAAGAGCTTCAGAGCCGACATGAGCAGACTCAGGCATCTGACCTGAACTGCCAGTATAGGCAAGGGCCCTACTAAAACATTTAAACATTATATTGAACACTTGTAAGACCAATTTCCTTATCAATGGCAGTAAATGGGGGGATATTGATTTTAACATAGAACAGGACAAGAGTATTCAAAAAAACAGTTTAATTTGAGCAATTGAAAAACTATCAAAACTTTCTCGAGAATAGTTTTACTCCCAGGAAGAATCTTGTCCCTTGACAAGACAAGATCAACAGCAGCAGAAGAGAAATATGGATTTTAACCTAGAACAGGACAACTCTAAGGGAGAAGGAAAAAAAATCAAGAACAGATTCATTTGAGCAAATAGAAAACTAAACCATGCTCAAAGGGACCTCAATTTTTTTTTAATAATTTGTCAGAAATATACATTTTTTCCCGTAAAAGAAGTTTTACCAGCTGTGGCAAATCAAGGCCTCTCTCCCCCCGGAGTTCACACCCTGGTCTTAGGAGAAGACCACAGTGCTCAGACTCCAAGACACAGAGGCACAAGGCTGCTTTAAGCTTAGTATATCAGACAAAAACATTTCAAAAGCAACTGTAAAAATCAACTGATCGCCAAAGAAGCATCACCTGGAGACACAGTCATATGGGCAGGTGTCGCATTTAAAAGAGACAGAGAAACCTGACAGGATCATGGACTCTGGATCCCAAAGTTCCTAAACCCCTGGTCTAGACATCCTCAAATCTCCATGGCGATACTTGACCCCTCACCCAAGATGAACTGATGAAGCTCTGCATCAGATTAGGGAAGCTATCCGGCATCCCAGCATCAGAGAAGGTTTGGTTATCTAGCAACTCCTACCAGTAGAAACCTATTCGGATTAATAAATTAGCCAGGTCAGCTGCTGCCTTCACTAATGCACTAGAGACAGTGCACTACCAGGCATGCCTCTTATGAAGTCACTTGATTTCTTTCACATCACACAGCACACAGAGGAATGGGCCCAGTCTGCTATTGCTTTACAGTCCCTGCGTATGGCATGTATATAGACATTTAATATTGAAAATAAATTAGGTTGTTGCATGCAACCTTTTAGTCACAGGCCATCCTGTCTATCACATTTTTAATGCAATTTGTCTACTTTACCTTCTCTTTTGAAGACTAATGCTGTGGTTTTTCTTTATGCTGAAAAGAAATTTGGATACTGGCTGACATGCAACTCATGAAGCCAATTCATGAAGCCAGCAGCCGGATCACCCTGAAGGTACTGAAGGGAGAGGAACGTGGTTGGATAATTGGTTCAGGAGTGAGAATCTGTGGAATCTGGTGCCTGTGAGAATGTGATGGGTTCAGTTAGGAATGAGAGCGTGAAACAGTGGGTTTGGGAATGTAGCGGGGATTGCGAGGGCAAGTGTGGGACATGACAGTACCCCCCCCTTTAGGGTCGGCTCCTGACGACCCTATTCAGTGGACACGGAAGAAGTCATCAATGAGGCCGTGATCCAAAATATCTCCCTCGTAAACCCAGAGTCGTAGCCCTCCCAGTCGACAAGAAACTGCCGATGGCCCCTGAGACAGCAGGTGCCCAAGATCTTGTTAACTGTGTAAGAATGCAGGCCGTCAATGATTCGTGGAGGAGGTGGAGGAGGTCGAGGTCAGGAGAGGGGAGATCTGTGGTAGGGCTTCAGGAGAGAAACGTGGAAGGAGGGAAGTACCCTGAGAGTCAGAGGTAGGGCAAGACGATAGGTGAGAGGGGTGATCTGAGAAAGGATGCAGAAAAGCCTAATATAATGGGGTCCCAATTTATGTGAAGGTTGCCTAAGGGGTAAATTCCTGGTAGACAACCAGATGTATTGTCCTCGTCGTAATCTAGGCACAGGTCGTCGATGACGATCAGCGGTGGTCTTCTGTCTCAGGGAGCATTTCAGAAGGGAGGATCGGGCATGCTTCCAGATCTTCTTTAGAGAGGCGAGGCGGGTTTGGAGGGAGGGAATATCCGAGTTAAAGAATTATTTTTTTTAAATGAGACATGCAAAAACAATTTCAGTTAAGAAGAAGAACCTTTATTTTATAAAGCACCTTTAAAATGTGCTTATGTAAACCCTTCACAGTAAGAAAGAATAGGAGAGGAGAGGACTGCACAATTGACCAATTAACCAACCAAGAGTGCAGTAGAAGATGCAAGAGAGCAGACACAGACATCAATGCAATAAAAGCCTTTGTGAAGAATGTTCTGAGTCTGAATTTGTAAGCGTTCGGGGTAGGTTACTCTCTGATATCCTTGGGAATAGAATTCCAGAGCTCTGGGGCGCAGCAGGAGAAGAGCCTGTCACCCAAAGTAAACAGATGAGATTGGTAGACAAAGTTGAGACCAGAGTCAGATGAAAGAAGATTCCAAGGTGGGGAGTAGAAA